TATACTTTCACTTTATTTGTTCTTTTTAAAGCACTGTTACATACTGTCTTGTTCATAGAAGCTTCAGACAAAGATTATCAGTGAGAAACTCCTGTTGAGTCATGAGGTGCAGAAAGGACTCCCTGGCTTTCTGAACTCCTTCTCAGAGTGCAGTCTATGTGTGGCTGGATCCAGTTCTAGTCCCAGACTTGGTCAATGGTTTATGTCTAAAGGATTATATAGGCATAACTGAACCTTTATACCACTTCATCCTGCAGGATTGAGGATGGCAAACCAATGAATTGTTTATTTAAATTGATGATAATAATGATTTGACTAAAAGACTTCAGTCTGAATAAGTTACCACAGTATAGATAATAATAGTTACAAGTATAGTAAACTATTAATTAAATAAATAATTTCTAAGCTATCAAAATAATAATTAAGAGAGATTGATGTACCACTACCAATGACTGTGGTCAAATATCTTTCATTCAGCCTTGAGGTGTAACCTTGAGGGGCATCCCCTCTCAAGGGAGCAATCTCCACATGCACTCCTAGCAGGAGTATGCTAGAAGTCCTTGCTGTTAAAAAGTGGGACTGTGCCTTAATTATATGAAGTGATTGACTGCCAGTCATGTGTTTCTTGGCCAGCTACATCAGCTCTGCAGCCTTTAGCTCAGCAGCTTCAGATAAGTTATCAGTACTATCACTTGTTGGTTCCTTTATCAGGAACTTTTTCTGCCACATCCTCCCCAGTGAAAGTTCCTGTCAGGATACATTGTTTTTCACATTCTCAAAGTGTTTAACTTTGGGGTTGTTTTCAGTCTGGTCTCAGCATTCTTCAACAGCAAAAGCAGCATGACCTCCCTTCTATGTCCACTGATGCAAATAGGGTAAAGTTGGAGCTGTTTTACCCCCACTTAGGCAGAGGAGCCTGCTTTGTGTATCTTGTAAAGAACCTAGAGTGGTTTACTGTGAAGCCTTCTGCTGCTTCTTTTCCATTGCACTCAATGCACTTTATGTCAAAATTGCAAATACATCAACGCTGAATGAACATGTTTGCCAGTGTTCAGAAGGATTGCAGAGAAGGAAAGGACTGCATTCAGCAGGCAAGCCCTTGACTAGGAGCCCTTTGACCAGGAGCAAATTTCCTTTCTTCTTGATTTCAGAAAGAAAACACTCCCTTTCCTGCTGGGTGGGCTTGCCCTACTCCAGCAGGTGTTGGTGCTGACTGGTGTCTGTGAACCCAGCTGCAGCTGGAGCTCACAGCACTGGTGATGATTTGCAAGGAATGCTCTGCTGCAGGGGGATGTGCTGTACTTCCACTGGAGATCAGCCTCTGGATGCCACGGAGGTGCACACGAAGAGGAGGGTTAAGGGTGATCTCTGATTAAAGTTCCATTTGCTGATGCTCTTCACCAATTTATATACAAGTGCTACTTTGCTAATTAATGACTGCTCATGAAATGCCATGTGTCAGCAATGAATCACTTATTTTTGTTGCACTTCAGTAGTATATGGCTAATGAGCAAGGACAACTCATATAATTAAAGCCTAAAATAGCCTGGTTGGTCGGGCACAATCAAGTGTTTATATCTTGCTGCAGTGTGTGGACCACAGTATATCACTTTGCTGTCTTTGCCTTTGGTAGTTTTGCAAGAAAAAAAATGGGAATTTGAAAAAAATTGGGATAGCAAATGTTTTTTTCAATGGAAGTAGTATGAGGAATTAAACTTCATTTGAAAAGAACTAAAGCTCTGCCAGTTACCTGTATCTGGCATAACCTTAAAATAAGACTGCCTTAACTATTGTCTCTAATGGGCCTCACCAACTCTAAACTAATTAAAAAAATAAATAAAAGGGAGAAACTGCCTGGATGAAATGGGGAAGGTTAGTGCAAAATAATAGAAAAACCCGTAGTTTGTGTCTCCACAGCTGCAGGCAGGTTGGAAAAGTGAGAAACAGGGACAAGCCTACTGTGAATGTGTGTAAGCAGCTGTTCATACTTTAAGCAATACCTTGAAAAATCTGCCACTGAACCAGTAAACCAGCAAATAGCATTTCTCCTGTTTGACCTGGTCAGTGCTAGCACAGCTGGGATCTTGTATTTTCATTAGTGAGAGGTAAGATCAAGCCTCTGGAGAACATTTGGTCCATCCATGCACACTGTATCCCTTTTCGCACAGTGTTATATACATCATAGTCTGAACCACTGATGTAATCCACTAGTTTTCCTCAAAAATGGGGAAAAAATTTATATTCCTGAGAGAGTCAGTAGAATCTATTAGCTAAAATACCCCATGTGACATGCACAAAAGACATTTGCAAATGGTTTCTAAGGTGCAGGAGTGGGAAAACTCCATCTCCTATGTGAAGGAATAAATCAGTCTCTTGTGAACCCACTTATTCTGATGAGCATATAAGGGAAGGGGAGGAATACACGTACACATACACATTGAAAAGATAGGGATAAAGGGGACATTATGAAAGGCATAAGAAGAAGAACAGACCTTTTATTTCTTAGTTTTGGATACAAAATATTTCATTATTTAGGATTTTGACTTTGTAATAAGAAGCGGTTTTATGACGTTTCTTCCCACAAAAGCCCCTAACATTTCCCTCCCTAGCCCTTTTGCACACACCTATGTGGGAACTTCAGTTTCTATAAAGGAACAACCTCAGCCATCAGATATGACCACTGCTATGTAAAAGAGCAAAAAAAGTGAACATCTGTTTCTGTTTACCTCGGAATAGGTTCTAGATAGTTTCTCAGTGTGACCAGATCTAATCTTGGTGTTCAGCAGCAAGAATAGCTACAGCTCTCCTGTTCATCCACTGGGTAGAGTCTTTGTATTGGCCTCACACAGCAGTTTCAAAAAATCCTGTGAAATAAGGATCTTTCCTGAAATGGCTTCTCAGAAAGCCATTGTGAGCGCTTAAGAAAAGCTCTCACTCTGGGGTATAAAGCACAGTGGGATTTTAATCTCTTTGTTTTCACAGGCTTGTTTAGGGAGAATTCTCAACTCAGGTTGAGTGGTGAAGATCTTAATCTCCTTATTGAAAATGCTATAGCCTTTCCCACCTGGACTTGCCAGGGTGTTAAGCTATGAAGGCAGATGCTCTGCCTGCATCTTATTCTCTTCGTGGCTCTGCTGTGATCTCCAATGACATCCTGACACTGGAGAGTTCTTCAATGATAAACTGGGAGACAATTCCTCCTGTTGACAGCTGCTCTTCCACATTTGTTTGGCTCTTTGAATGCTGTTTGCTTACACAAACGAAGCTGTGGATAACCACCCTCCATCTGAGCAGCGAGATTGTGAGAGATCTTGGATGGAATTAATTGAGGCCTTTCTGATCTTTTGACATCCCTTTTGGTTAAGTCAAGATTCTTTACAACGGCAGAGTGGAGGCAGGGATAAAAGTATGAAATTGTTGGAGCATCTGCACAATGGGCACTTCATGTTTTTAAAAAACATGCGCTGTTGTGGAACAGAAGTGTAATATATGCCATTAACATTAGTGTCATTGAACATCCTCTAAATTGCAGAATGGTGAGAAAAAATTGATATGAAAACAAGAGAAAATGAAAACTGTAATAAGCTCTCTGCATGAGAAGGGTAATCTACAGTTAAATATAAAGGCTAAACTGAAACAATGGAAAGAATGAGATATATTTTCTATTTTAGAGCTAAGACTGAATCTCTGTCTCTAACCCCCAAAGCTGTGACAAAAACTTAATGGTGTGAAGCAGAGACACCATGTCAGACTTCACTCTGCATCCCTGGGTCTAGATGATTTATCACTTGCAGCCACTCTGTTTTCTACTAATTAAGTGCAATAGTTATTTTAGTAAGTTAGCTTGACTATGCTCTGTCCCCTGTTGAGCTTGGTTGAAAGTGAAAACAAAAGGCCTTTATTGCAGCTGCTGTAAATTTGGGTCTCAAATGTGTTTTTTTGTATTTGCACACTCATGAAATGGAAACAGGCAGCCACGGTTCTCTGCTATAGGTGCTCCAGCACTTGTGTATAGACCTGGTTGTAAAAACTGATTTCTTCTTAACAAATAAGCTGAATGTATTGTAACATAGCCATGAGGATGAATTTGATCTGGGTGGTATTATGAGAGAATTCTGGCTTTTTTTCCCCCCTGACAGCAGACATATGGGCTTCTCTTTATGCTTTGGAGAACAATGAGCTATTGACTACCAAACAATGGGAGAGTGACGTTCAATGTTGAGAGGGCCCTGCTGGAAGGGCCCTCTGAAAGACCATGCCCAGCACAAAGGTATCTCTTGGAACTGGAGCTGACTGCCAGCCAGGCTCTATCTGTACTTCTGACTACTTTGGAAATGTCAGTAATGTCAGCCAAAATGGGAGAGGAAGACAGAGAATCCTGCTGAGCTACAGCGATAACAAACCTTAGGCTGAATGTGAGCTACTACTACCTACATGCACAGGTTTCAGAGAATGCACCCCTTGACACAACTTTCCTGATAACATGTCCCTGCTCTGGTGGGATTTCAGATAGACACATAGTCATGGCAAGAAGCTTTTTTCTTCTGCAGCTCTGTTGAGCATTGTTTCCCATTCCTCCTGTTGTGTCAGAAGAGTCTTGGTCACTTTCTGGTTTATTCCGTTTTTTCCTTTTACCCACAGAATATTAGAATACATGGATATGACAGTCTGGTCAGAGAGAGAGAAAGCTAAATAAGCTTTTCCATGAATTGGTCTTGGAGGCTTTAGGGAGCTGGAGAGAAAGAATTGTAAACATTCTGCTGGTGGTATTTGTAACAAATTGTTTCTTGTAAGATGTTTTACCCCAAAGGGTGTCTTAATTAGCCAATCATGTGAAATGTGTTGATTAAATGACCAATCAGGTCCACCTCTATCAGACCAGGGTATAAAAGGAGTTTCAATAAAGGTGGGGCTTTTAGTCTCTTAGCCTTCTCACTAGGGGTCTGTATCATTCTTGACTTAATGATGACAAGAATATTCTCCTTTTTTCTTAATGGTAGGTTGAAAGAATGAAAGATAAGCCCCAACCAAGAGTCTCTGGGCACTCAGCTGTCTTACAACTTGAAATTTGTGGAAATGCAAGATACAAAACTGATAACTGATGTGGCTCTTTATTATCCAGTCAGCTGATTATAAGGTAAATGTTTCCTTCTTTCTTGTACAGTGATGATAAATTGGAGAGAAGATGTGTTTGGGTGATGCAGAGGACCAGGCACTATTCAAACAGGGGTTGCAAAGGATTTTGTCCCTTCAGATATCCACAAGTCCCAGCGACCCCTTCTGTTAGAGAGCCCCTCTGGGAATGGAGAGGTGCAGTGTGGTTGAGCTGAGAAGGGATGCCAGGAGCCCAGGAGATGGTGGGAGTTAGAAACCACAAGTGGTTTCCAGCCCTTTTGTCTGGGCTACAAATGTACATCTTGTATCTGTTCTTTTCTATAAGGTTCTCAATGGTTCTGCAGCAGCCCTGCTCCAGCATGGTGGTGCTGCATGAAGGAGATATCTAGCTTTTATTCAGAACAGAGATTTAAGCATTCCCATATAATTCCATACTGAATGGCTGGCTGGCAGATTATTGTGCTGAAGTTCTGAGGAGCCAATCCATATGAGGTTCTTTGACTAACCACTTTACTCCTCAAATCATCCCTAAAATTTAAATTTCCCAGACAATTCTTAAAATCCCAGTAGAGCTCATGAAGTGTGAGTTCCTGGGAACAGCAAACCCAGCACAGGACACCTTGCATGCAGTGTTATCTTTTGTATGCTGTTTTTAACAGCTTTCTGAAAAAGAGGTTCAATTACAGTTTGCCTTGGAAGAGGCTTTTTTCTGAGCTGCTGAAGCCTCTCAAGCAGTGTTTACAGGCCAGTGCCTGCCAGGTTTTGATGTTTGCTGGAGGAGGTCCAGCCCACGGGCAAGGCACCAGCTCCTGCTGGAGGGGCCAAGCAGCAGACGTGTTGTGAGAATGAAGAGGCACCTGGGGGCTTCAGAAAGGATGCACCCCACCCAGAGAGATAATCTTAACGTCTAAGAGTGTTTCCCAGGGCCAGAATTTCTGCTTTAATAAAAGTAAGAATTTTAGCTGGTTGGAATGAGGATACATGATGGGAAAAACAAAAGCCTTGATGGAATATTGTTATAAACATTTTATTGCTTTTTGCACTGAAGTGGCTCATCAAGTCTCAAGAGAACCATCATGATACTTTTTGACATACTTTTTATTCAATTCAGAAATTAACAGTGTGGTTTTAATGAAGTTCAAATAAACCCAGTATGAATACTGGGATACAAAACAATTATTTTGCTCAAAAATGGGGAAGAAAATAAAAAAGTATATCTGATGATTACAAAAATACCTTCAAAGATAACAGATAAATGAATGAGCACAGCTATCGTTCTCCTGAATGTAATGAAATGTGTTTTACAACTTTTGGCTGTAATCACAATTAGCAATACTCAGGGCTATTTGCTTGGCTATGTGTGCAAATCAGAATTTGTGTGTATGAGAGAGTAATAGCGGCTGTACAAATTAATTTCTTGTGAAGAGCTGATTGCTCCACCTGTTATAGTCTGTCTACATCCTATATTCCCATCAACTGCTGCCGATTAGTTCACAGAATGTAATTGGAGAAGGAAAATAGAGAGCAAAATGTCTGATTTATAGTCTGAGTTGGTTATGCCCAGTGATTTTTTTTAATGGTGGTTCAAATATTCTGTTATTAAATTGATTAAATAATTAAATGCTGCTATAAACATGTCAGATGGCATTGCACATCAATTTTCTACTGCTGAGTGGGACTCTCATTTACTTCCCAGTATAGTGCGTTACTAAAGTTGGTGCTAGTTTTGGACAAGACTGCTAAAGAACACTAAGGAAAGAAGAGAGGGATGAAAATACCCTCTGTAAACACTTTCCAGTTAAAAACATAGCATGGGCAGATCATGCTGTTTGCATGTGATTTGTCTTAAATAAAAGCGCTTTCTTTGCTGGGATGAGTAGAGCTAAAAGAATAATTGGTTCTAAAGGGAAAAGATGATTTTCAATGATTCCTTGTTTTCTTTAGAAATAGTTTTGTGACAACACAATCACCAGACCACAAGCTGCACTATTTATATGTTTATTTGGTTGGAGAACTGAATCTTTATTTGAGGAAGCATGAAAAGTTAAGGCTTAAGAAATCCCTAGACTGAAACAAAGCCACTTGCTGTAAATCACAATGTTCGTAAAGCAGATAAAGTAAAAACTGTTTTTTGGCAAAATATATAAGCTGATAAAATCCAGGCTGACCTGCGGGAAATTAGCATAGCAAACTGTTATAAGTATTGTCAGAGAAAAGGAGATCCAGCTGCTGTGTCTCACTCCCCACTCAGAGCTGAGTCACTGCAGAAGCTGTGCTCCCTTTCTTCTTATCTGATGGCAGCTGAATTCCTGTGCTTGTATTCAACCCTTTATTCTTTGTTTACACTAAACTTGCTTGGAGTCTATTTAAGCTGTGCTAATGGCTGTAGTCTGATTTAATGAATAATTTCCTGGAGATCCACAGTCACTGTCTGGGTTTACAAATTTCTGAAGGAAGAGAAAATCGTGTACCTTCCCTTTTGATGTTTTTTTGACGTGTTATTTGGTCCACTTGCTATTCTCCACCCACATGCAGAGAAGAGGGGGTAGCAGTTTCTAGATCGTGCTGTGCTGGTTTAGGCTGGCATAGAGTTAATTTTCTTCACAGTGAATGGTATGGGACTGTGTTTTGGATTTATGCTGAACACAGTGATCATAACACAGAAAAGCTTTTACAGAGCCAAGGCCTTTCCAGGTTTTCATACTGCCATGCTGGTGAGGAGACTGAGGGTGTGTGGGAGATTGGGAGGAGACACAGCCAGGACAGGTGATCCCAGCTGACCAAAGGGATACTCCAGATCACCTGACATCATGCTCAGTGTATAAAGTGGGGGAAAGAAGGAGAAAGAGGGTGATATTTGGAATAGTGGCTTTTGTCTTCCCAAGTAACTGTCGCAGGTGATGGGGCTCTGCTGTCCTGGAGATGGCTGAACACCAGCCTGCCCATGGGAAGTGATGAACCCATTCCTTGTTGTGCTTTGCCTGCACGTGTGGCTTTTGCTTTCCCAGTGACTAAATATTAATCTATGTATAAAAAATGTTAAAAGGAAGTTGAGGAAGTTAAGTTCTTTGATACACTGTTATCAAGAATATAGCTATCTAGTCAAAAGATGGTTCCTTCACTGACATAGATCCCCTCTCAAGCAGGTGTATTTCTTCAAAAGATGTACTGTGGTCAATAATGTTTTCAAAATGAGTTGAGAATTTTTGTTGCTGTCCTTTGCTGTGATTTTGGACTTGGTATATCTCAGTTTTTAAGGGCATTCTGGATACAGTGTATATATTCTGCCCCTAAGACACTTTCTCTTGAAACACTCCATTAATTTAAAAGAAAACTAAGGCAGAGGCTGAAGATATATTTATTGTATTTGGCAAATAGCAATTTCTATGCACAGGTTTGCCTTACAGCAAATGTAAGCCCTACATTTTTAAACATTCATATGGATCCCAAGTGTCAGAGCCACAGTGACTGCTTCCATTTTCTCATCCTTTTTCTTGTTCACTGAGTATTTTGAGGATTTCAGTGCTCAGTGATTTTTAACTTGCTTGTAAGGGTAGGTATTCATGATGCTGCAGTGATGGCCAGATGTCTGGACACCTCCCTACTTGCTGTCATTGTGCAGATGCAAAGCAGAGGCCTTTCTGCAGCTTATCATTAATCACGAACTGTCGGACTCAGGTATAAAGATTGGAAACTGCTGATTCCCTTTTCAGACCAGTTCTGAGCTGAGTGCACACTATTCTCTGAATGTGTCAGAGTGGATTGCATTAAAGCTCTTTTTTCACTTGCTGTGGAAGAGATTAATTAAGAACTTACAGTTCGATGTGCCATGAAAACTTGGGAATTTGACTCAGTCTGAAAGCTGAAAGGATGCTAAAGGAGATAAAATTGGCATTGTGATTTTGAGCAAAGGTTCCTCCAGATTTATTTAGGAGAACAAGTTAAATAATGTTGTGAACAAAAGCAGAAAGCTTATAAAAGGAAGAGCTTAAATACTGAAAAATAAAATTATTTTTCAGCAGTAAAGAAACTGGAGAAGGCCATTAGATTTTGATGACGAGTCAGCAATGATCACTACAGAAAATATACTTGGAATGGACATATCCACAATTCAAATGACTGGCTTTACTCCAGGTCTTAAAAATGATAAGTGTCTATATAGCTGCAATGGTTTGTGGGCACTTCTTTTTTGGTAGAAATTGCAGTAACTAACAACAGATATGATTGGTATGTGGAAGGCAGCATTTGTCATTACTAAACATGTTTGTTTATATTTACAGTTCTAGAAGAAGTAGCCAGCAAGAAGGGTTTCAACTTGAAAGAAATCTGCAGTGTTGTTAGAAGGCGTGAGAGTAGTTCCTCTGAGATGCTCTCTTTCTGTCTTGTAAATACACTTTGGCAATTTTATGTAGTGCACAGAGAGCCAGACATAAGTGTCTGTACATCTCAGTTCACTCAGCACTATTCGATCTGAGAATTGGACTTTGGCGTACATTTTATTAAATGCAAAACTAGGAAACGGAGAAAATTTCTAAGCCCTGTGTCAGTGAACCAGGCAGTAAAAGTGCAATTATAAAACTATAATAAATATTTATGTGCTTAGTACATATGAGATAGTCTGTGATTCTATATTGAACAATGCACATGCATTGAATAACAAAATACTTAATACCCCGAGGCATTTTCTGCTTTGCAGATTACTTTAGGCTACCACAACCCACCTGCTTTAGAAGCAAGATTATTTTCTTTCACTAAAAGTGAATGTTTTAAGATTTTTGTGTGCATGAAGAAGTAAGCACTTACTTGTATCTGACAAGGAGATGTATATGACATGGTGTATCCAGAGTCAATTTATTCATGTGGCGTATAATTGCCACTTTTTAGCAAGTGGAACCTCCTTTCCTATGAACAAAAACCAAGACCCTTTTATATTGTTTACTAGGCTTACCCTGATTTTTATTCTGTCAAAACACACTCCAAGATATAAACTCTTCTCCTCTGCAAAAAATAAAACCCCTACAACCTTTTAATTTTTTTTTGTTGTGAATGGAAAGAAAGTAAGTTGAGAGATAAGTCTGGGAGCTATAATCATAGAAATGTATTAATGAAACTGTCAAATAATTCCTTTGAAGACACTTTCTAACGTGTATTTCATAAAAGGAGCAATTTGTGTGATGTCAACCATCATTAATTGAAATTTTTGTGCCTTCACTTCAATAAATTTGCTTCAGTTGCTTGATCCTTAAAACTTTCAGATTAAGTGGCTGTACTTGTTAAAGGAATGGTGTGAAGCCTGTGGCCTGTGCTGAGTTCTGTCTAAGAATTGGGTCCATTGATGAAAAGACGTGTGCCTGTTGGCTTGTAGGCATATATGCATCCTCCTTTCTGGGGAGAGAAGGCTGGAGAGGGGGGCTTGGGCATATAATTCTGTTGGATTTGGTCATTCTGCTCTCTTAACAACCTGATCTCATTCACACAATGACCTGAGCACACAATGCCTGATTCTCATGTGACTAAACAAGGATTTTAGCATAAAAATGGGCTTTTGAGTGCAGGATCAAGCCCCTAAAGACACACTTAGTATGTGATAAGCAATGGCTTAGAAGGAGCTGACAAAATAATAAAAAATGCATCAGGATGTGCATCATTGGCAGGAATATTTCAACTGGAGCAGGTTGGATAAGGTTTCCTAGTGGAGTAGTCCAGCCCCTTGTTATCACAGGCCCAGAATGTGTTTCCATCATGGGGGCAGATTGGTCATCATTGCCCATATGACAGGGAGGTCCCGTGTACTCTCATTACAGGAGTGTTGTGTTTCCAGCCAGATGAGGGGACACCACCCCTGCCACCACACAGTACTGGTCACAGAGAGCTCACAGAGCTGGCACCTGCCAGCCAGCCGTGGTGTTTTGGTTATGTGGTGAAGGTGTTTCCTTTTGGCCTAGTGAAGAAACGGCACAGGGCCATGGGCAAAGAGGACAGCAGGGCTGGCAAAACAATTCGATATCCCAAGAGAAGGGATGGGATCAGGTCTTGGGCTACATTCAGTTTTTGCATTTAAACAGATCATTCATAGGGACTGGAGGTTGCTATCTCCAACGTACCTGTCAGGTGCAGCTTGCCTTTTCCTATGATAAACATAATAGAAAACTTTACACATGGAGACCCTTAGTTGGCATATGTTCCAGATTTATATCAACATGGTAGTACGTGGGGTGAGTATATTGGTGTAAGCCAACACAAGCAAATCTAATCGTTAATGACATCAAAAATGTTTTGTAGATCACACCTTCAGGTCAGCACAGGCTAAAGCCAAAACCCATTTTGTGTAGAAATGGGTGGCTAGATATGGAGATAAGTGAGGGCCACCCACTCCCTGCACAAAATATCTCCCTGCTTAACTGCACCTTTGCTTACCTGGCCTGTGCCAGCCTGAGCACCCAGAAGAGCCTGTCTGACCCCTAGGCCAGGAGGTGAAGCAGCAGTCTCCCAGATGGCATCTTCATTCATCACACACAGTCTGTGTCCATTGTGTCCATGATCACAGCTTCTTTCTGTAGGTATTTCTGCAGTATTATGCCTTGGGACATAATTGGAACCACAAAAACCCCAACCAACCCTGCCACTCCAAGCCCCAACAAACCCAAAACAGCGCAAGAAAAAAACCCTAACAAAACAAACCAACAAACAAACCTCATCAAACAAACGAAACAAAAAAAAAACAAAAACCACTCCAAAACACAAAACAAAAAAGAAAATGCAAAGAAAAATTGTGGTAGGGCTGTAGTCTATGGGATCTGTCAAGATAGTGGGGCCTTAAGAGTAATTTCTGCCACAAACTGAAGCTCTCTCATTGGAAAACTTGAGGGAATCTGTTCACACTGGGTGGCAGGGCTTTTGATATGAGTCACTGTTGAATACCTAGAAAGTATGATCTCTTCTACAAGCATTTAATGCATGTACAATTTTACACTAGGTATAAATCCTATAATTGTATGTCACCTTTCTGGAATACAGTAACAGGTAAAACTGTTCCTGGGCATAATTTTTAATGCTATTTCCCCCAAACCCACAACTACTGTTGAAATTGTGTGCCCAGTTCTGAAACTGGAGTACCTGCCATCCACAGCAATACATGTCAGAGGGAGGCAAGAGAAGGATTAGTGTTTCATGCAAAACTGATTCAGTAAATGAACTCAAGTTATCTTAATCACATGAAATCCTAGGGTAGCTCATATGCTTTAAGCTGAGATGCCCAAATACCTTGCTGGGCTGATAGGCTTAGGCTTAGAGAATTCCTAAAAGAATCTGAAATAATTTCTGTTTTACATAGTGACTGCTGACATGAATTAGTTGCATCCTTATCTTACACGGAGAAATAGAAGAGTCTCACCTTCAGATTTGTTATCTGTGTGTTAGACGAGATGACTTAAATTGCAACAAGGGTTTTCTCTGAGATAGTGAGATATCTCAAGAACAACTACTGGTTGATGGAGGCTTCTGGTGTGCAGAAGAAATGGCAAATGGACTCCCTGAAGACAAAAGAAACCTAGAAAACCTACTATCATCTTGTTAAAACTAGGTAGATTAAGAATTTATTTATTTCAGCTGTATTTTCACATTCAAACACATTCTGTTTGATTATCCATTAATTCATAAGCAAGTACCTTTCCCCCATACTTTTCCTTTCCATAATCTTTCTTTTTGTCTTAGGGGAAAAAAAACCCCACAGCATTTGAACTCCCCAGTGTCAAATTAGGATCCTTATGTTTTAGGGACAGAATTCATATGGAGGATATGAATAAGGATATATTCTTGCCAGCAGCGGACATGACCAGTAAAGAGTCACTTGCCAAGATGCAACTTTTTGGGTATCTGATTACCAGCTCCCGAAGTGAAGTCCTTAACTCTCCTATGCCATGTGCTGTGTAGTGGTAAATGAAGATCCCTCCCCTGAAGTGGAAAACCAAGCAATTGTTCACAGGAACTAGTTCAGAATTATACAAGAGGAACCCATCCAAAATTGCTTTTCCAACATCAGTCTGGAGCTCCAGTGCTGAACTCAAGGTGATAGAAATGCACCACCATTCTCAGCCTAAATCTGTCTGTCTTCTCTGACACCCATTTGATCAACAAACGGGACTAACAATTCTCTTTCCTTGAAATTTGGAATTAACAAGAGACATTTGTGTAAAGGAGAAAGTCCCAGGATCAGAAGTCCAACTAATGGCATCTCTGGACTGAAGGTCCCAAGCACAGAGCTACAGGCTGGACGGAGCTGCACCACCATGAAGATCCCTGTGACTGCCACGCCCTGCAGTTCTTCCCACTGGCTCCATGACACACCTACCTGCGTGAGAAGAGCAGCAGAACATCCACTGATACCAACACTTACTTTCCTCCTTTTTAAGTGAAAATGTCCCAGTTTCATTACATTTTGTCAACTCCCCTGAAAAACTGTTGGTTTTGACTCTTGCAGCAGATGTGGACACAAGTCACTTCTGGGTAAGGACATCCTAAGTTGATAAGGATTTTGAAGAAGAGGATAATAAGTGTCTCTTTATCTTTTTGTTAGAAATGAACAGGAGGAAGAGCCCCATTTGACATTTTACTAAGCAGGCACTAGACGGTCCTCTGTATCTGCTTCCTTTTCTGTGCAGAAGAAACTTCACTGGGAATTTTGCAGTCAGTTTTCAGAGGCAGAGTCTTATTCACCTACTTTTGAACACCTCTGTACTTCAACACTTCCTCTTTTTTCTTCTAAACAAATAGAGGACCGCATTTCAGTGGTTTATTTCTGTCTGTATTTGTCTACTGTACCTTTTGCATCATTTGCATCATTTAAGGCTGTTCATGGAAAATGTGCTTGCATTACTTTTGGGAACTGAAGCATGGAAGAAAAGAAAATTACATGTTTATCTTTATTTGATTTCTTAATTTGATATGTGGGGATAAGTTAATTAATTGACAAAGGTTTTAGATTTATCCCATTAGAAGTTAGGGCTGGGACTGCTGAGCAGTTAACTATTTTTGACATGTCAAGAACCTGAGAAGATTGCTTTTTGTTAAGTATAATTTTTTTTCTCACTTCAGGCCAAGGTACTTCTATATTTGTTTTAATATTTTTCTAAGTAGTAGCAATACTAATGGTACTAACAGGAAAGGGTCTCTGCTTCCAATAGCTTACACTGAATTATTTTTTTGCTAATGAAGTATAGAGATGATTTTATAATATAATTACATAGCTCTCTTTACATGCCTTCTCAATGATGTGGAGAGTCAGAAGTCTTGCTAGGTAAAAGACATCTAAAGTTCAAAAGAGAAGAATTAATAGTACCATTGTAGGATGCTAATAATGCATAATAATTAATAATATTTAATAAGTAATAAAAATAAATAATAATTCACTTTTTGACTGGTTTGAAATTTTCAGTCTAAAAATCCAAGTCAGGTCAGCCAGATAATACTTCTAATAATTTATACTTAATGCAATGTCCTCTCTGCTCTTTATGTTTGGGGGAGACATTTAGTCGTAGGCAAATCAGTAAGTGAAAGCATCTATGAGATACTCTGAGGTTTCTCTACTGCCAAATTCTTGCTCTGACACAATTCTTCTTATGTCTTTGAATTTCTAATCCCTTTTCCAGGCCATCAGGGCATTAGCTATGTGAAAAACTCAAAAGTATTTTCATATTCCATTCAGGTATCAAATTATTGAATCAAAACCCTAAAGAGTTACATCCAGACTTAGTTTGGCTCTTTATATTTAGCATACCCTAATACTAGGGCTTTATTTCCTCTAAACTATCTGATTGAATGCTGCTGCAAATTATTCTGGTTTTAGCAATGCATTATTTCATCTTATTCTCATGTTTCATAACTTTCAGAATAAAAAAAAAAAGGAACAATTTTTTCAGCTTATTTCCTAGGCTTGCTCAGGTAAGCTTTGTGACTGCAGAATTTGAAACAATGCATGTCTTGAGGGAGAGAAGAACGTTGGTGACATTTCATATTGCCCTAATCACAAAGGGAATATATTGCATAGCTTAATTCCTCTTTGGCCCATGTTGGATTACAGGGTAATTTGGACTGCAAGGGGCCTCACGAGGTCTCTAGTGCAACCCAATGCTGGAAAGTTCAGAACAGATTGCTTTGGACTGTACACAGAGTGTGCATTTTAAAACCTCCAGGGAGAGACTGTAGATCTCCTTTGGCAACCTGGCTCCTCTCCTTGGTTGTCCTCACAGTAAATATTTCTTCTGTCTGTTCTGAACTTCTACAGTTTCACTTAATGTCCTTTGCCTCTCATTCTCCAGACAAATGCCACTGGGAGAAGCCAGGCTCCATGTCCTTGACAAGCTCCTCACTGGTGCTTTTCTGTGGTGCCCTCAGAGACATTTCCTCTCTGGGTGAGCATGCCTTGGCTCCTCACAGCTTGTCCTCTCAGGGCACATGCTCCATCCCTGCCCACCACAGCGTCCAGTTTGCTTGCTCCAGTTTGTCGATGCCTTTCCCGCACTGTAGAGCCCCAAACTGGACACAGGGCTCCAGATGAGGTCCAACAGCTGCTGGGTACAGGGAAGAATCCCTTTCCTTGATCTGCTGGCTGTGCTCCTGCCGGTGGAGCCCAGGGCAGTGCTGGCCTGGGCGGACCCCTGGTGTGCCCAGGAGCTCCTGTGCAGAGCTGCTCCCCAGACTACCTTGTCACAAGGACTTCTTCCTCCCAGGAGAACCACACTGCATTTGTCCTTTTTGAATTTCATAAGGCTTCTGTTGGCCCGTTATTTGAACTTGACCTCAAGCAGGGTTGGAAATATACTGGGAATCAATTGAAAGGATACAATTGAATTCAGAGGTTGCTCTTGAATCATTCAGGACAGAAATTTAAATACATTAAAGGGAGAAAGAATGTGCAAAGGTATTCCAAGGTATTCTTGAAATACTTGAAATACAGTGACCGAGTCTTTCATCTAGTTTTGTGTGGTATTAGCATAACCTAGGTTAGCACAAAATCTGCTGCTGGAGAAGACCCCACAATCCCTTGACCAGGAAAAACTTCATTAGCAGCAACAGCATGGTGCCCCATATCTAGCAACAGTCAGATATATATAGTGCATACCAGGCATCTGAGGCAATAGGAATGCTCTGTGTATACTCACACATATATACAAAGGCACAGTGTGCTAGGATAGGAGTGAAAAAATGGTGTTGGGATGGGCCTGCCCATGGCTGGGAGCATATGCCTAGAAAATCTCCTATTTGTAATAGCATTTCACTAAAATTGACAAATGGAGGCAATTTAGGTCCTGTGTATAAACCAAGTTACACAGGCATAAGTTCATTGTTCTACTCAATCCCTAAATTAGGCTTTTTTGAGAGTTATTTAGGCTTAAGGAAGGACATGACTTTAAAGTGAAATAGCTGTTCTAATTTTTCATGTGAACAAGTTTTTATTTGATTTTTTCTCTGTAATTATTCAATAGCATGAATATTAAAGACTAAATTCCCTTTCAAAAAACTTTATTAAATATTTTGCCCAAATGACTTGATTGTATCATTTTAATGAATACAGAAAAAATGAATCAGCACAGAAAGTCATTAATTATAACATGGCAGAAAACCACTGAAATAGACAACAGTGGCTTTTTAACATGTCAAAGAACTTTTTACTGAGACAAACTATTGCAAAGCCTTGCAAACTTATCCATGTAGGGCAATAGATTTACCAGAAGTTCATAATGCCCTCTCAGTGCTTTACATTTTCTCCTATGTATTTCAGTAGGAATCAACCCTGCTAAGGCTGTTTTATTGTAGCCTATGTAGGAGGAAGAGGACAGAGGAATTTACTTTAAAAAGCGGTTTCCTGATTTTAGGAGCCATCTCTCTTTTCGTAAACACAACTTGATCAAAATTGAAGTCTTCGTGAAAGGGGATATTGCCCATAGAAAAAAGTCATAGATATTTTGAAAATGGATAGAGTTTAAAGTGGATCAGTACTACCAGCTACTGCAATCATTACAAGTGAGGATTAAGTTATATGTCTGTGTGGATGATGCATTTGTAGCTCTGCAAAACTCTGGACATGGAAGTTTTTTCTTGAATGCACTTCCTTTCTTGGTCCATTTTTCCAATAAATGGACTGCAATCAACTTCCAAAAGAGAATCTCAAACAAAAGGTAATATCAAGTGCCTGAAATCTGAAAAGCTCCCAATTGCTTAGAGAAGAGAAATTGTGAAGAAGAAAATTATGACGCTGTCAGGAAAAACATCCTGAAGAAGGAAGAGGTTCAATTACATGTTGGTTTCTTGCAGAAAATGGGAAAGCAGCAGTATTTTTTGTCTTACTATCTTAACCAATCAAAACATATTAGCAGGGCTGTGTAATGCCCAAAAAATGAGGAGATGTGGTTTACAAATTCAGAGACAATATCTGTAGCTAAAAATTCCCATTTTATTAATCTTTTGATTGATGTTCTTTTTTATTATTACTTATGATTAAAAAAATCTTATATCAAGTTTCTTCAAGCATTAGGCTACCAACAGCATATTATTTTTTCCCAAGGATGCTGAGATTCCCTGTCAATGGTGACACTGATGGAGGGAGATTTAGGCTAAGCCTAAGAGAGGCTGCAATGCACTTGTGTGACTGGAAGACCTACTGGTGATTTCCGTGGGCCATGTTTGTGGATGGTCTAAAGTAGTTTAATTCTGAAGAATTCTGGAGCTGTGTTGATTCACACCATATGGGTATTTGGCTAAATCATTCCCTGGCAGAGCTACAGAACTATAAATGTGACAGTGCTCTTCCACTGTCACTCTTCGTGGGTTGATTCTATATTTGCTGAAGGGAAACTGTAATTGAGGCACAGATATTTGCTTGACAGATAATACTCATGCCAACAATCTCTCAGGCATTTATTGTGTACAGCTATTGAGAATACTGGCCGTTTTCCTTCACTTGATGACATAATAAAATACTACAATTAGTACAAAATGCACTCAACATTCAAAATGTCGTCATCCAGAGATATTAATTGTTCCTGTGATTGATGGATTTTAGTGGATAAGGATGAATTTACTTAAGTGATCCATATTTGCACATGTTTTTCAGTCAATGCTGATAGATTTGAATTAACTAAAAGCAATGTGATTTCCAGATTTTTGTTTTCCCACCAGGACCATTTACATTTGTTTTGAGGTTTCCATTAATCCCTGCAATTTATTGAGTAAATTGCTATTTAATTCATGTGGATAGGTGCATTTCCTATGACAAACAAATGCTTGGTGTTTTGTTCCAGTGGTATGTCATTGAAAGGAAATAATGACTCGTCTCTGCATACTTTGATGGCTTTAGGATCACAAGCATAGGAAGTAA